ATGTTGGGCTCAAGGAAGTAGGGCACCGAATATCTCTCAAGTGCCTCAGGCTGACCCCGGATCACCCAGCCTAGGTCCTCCAGATTTGAGAGGTCAGAACAAGGGTACCCGATTTTTTTTCTGGATCTCTGTTTTAGTAGGGGAACCCTCCCAACCAAAAAAGGGGTGAGAAAGGGCACCTAGCTGAAAAACCTAGCCCAGGATGCTGCATTCACCCAATAGAAACCGTGGAACATGTAACGATGTGGATGTGCCTCCCTTGACTTGCAGCCATGACTCAGGATCGTTGATCCATCCCGAAAAGGGGCGGGGAATCCATTCAACTGGGCTGCCCGTTTTCGGATCCCCTGCTCAAAGTTGAGCTTTTAGTTGAGTGGAACCTAGGTACACGGCGTGTAGACGGCCGTGGTGGTTTCAAGGGATTTTTCGGGCATGCATGCCCCAAAAGCCCTAAAAACCTACAGGCATGGCCGGGAACCACCAAGTAAACAAGTACAACTGGCCAATCTCCCGGCTTTTGCGTGGCACAGCCCAAGCTTTTCGTGGCACTTTGAACGCCGGCCAAAGGAACCACTACGATGTCTTGCCTCTTTCTTCGGCAAGTTGTCTAGTTTCCGGCCTTGAGGCCCAAACCAGAGGCAAAGATGGGTGCGTCTAGAACCCCCCCCAAGAAAATGGTGTCTCTTTTGGTTTTCCTCAAAAACACACAACAAAATAAGGGTGCCAACTCCAAAAAAGACGAGCCAAGTCAGAAATCCTGGCAGCGGGCTCCGGGCACAGAACCCCTTGCTTAGGCCCTGGGGCTTGTAGGCGCTCACTTCAAGCGACGTGAAGTGGTACTTCCGCAAGCGGAAAGTCCCAAGCTGAAAGCTAGCCGTCGCATAGTTGTACACGACTACGTCACTATGTGTCTTTCTATTTTCTTATATACATATATACATATCCCAAGAGCCATATATATATATATACATATATGCATATGTGTATATATATATATATATATTTGGTACCCCTCCCCCCCCCCAGAAAAGAAATATGTATATATATATATTATAAAAAGGAGAGGTATGAATCATACGTGGAGCGTCTCGCCTCTCGGCCCCTCTGGGCGCTCCCGGCGCTGGTGTTGACCACCCGATGCACCGTGGACCTACAGAGTTTGGCGAAAGGGCTACGGAATGTTCTGTCCTATCGGCCCACCACATAATGCATATGTAAGTGCAGAACTCCGTAGCATTATACAGAGAGAACTGGGGGAGTAGAATACATATGCAATGTAGTGCCATATCGCGATGCCATTTGACCAGATGTCAAAAGAACAGTAAACAAAAAGACCGAATCACATGTGCGAAGAAAAAACACATGTCGTGTTTTTCAGTGTATAGTCAAAGCCAGCCTGCGGCGGCTCCCTTCAAACCCAATCTGCAATTTCTACATGTCCAAAACGCGAAACAAAGGATCCCGAAGTGAAGGTCCAGCATCATGGTGTTTCTCTCATGTTTTCCTCTGAATCGCGAGCTCGCCATAGAATTTGCAGAACCCCATTTGTTAGGGGCGCATTCCATATGACACTTTTCTATTCCCACATAATGCGCTGAAAAAGTGGCTTTTTCAGGTACCCAGCCTGTGATGTCATGTCCTTTTGTGGTAAGTAGAAAAGTAAGAGCCATTGATATGGCCCATAGCCTTTTGTGGACCTTGCGTGCAAAACTAAGCGATACAAACCCCCAAAATAACGCATATGTAAGCGTGTATATGTATATATATATATATATATATATATATATGTATATATGTGAGAAAAATAGGGGCATGTAAGCCATGATCAAAAATCCTGTGGCCTGTGGCTATTTTTCCCTTAATAGGAATCATGTTCATGGTTACTACTGTGGATGCACGAAATCCGTTTCGCACCGCTTGGAAACCATGGGAAACCATTGTTTGTTGGTATTTTCCAGGGGGAATCGAACCATTTCAGGGTGTTTTGAGGTGGTGCGGGATTTGTCCATCCACGGTATCCGCTTACCAATTGGGTGGCACGTGTTTTTTAGTTGGTACCTTTCGGTCTTTGGCTTCAAAAGGCAAGCAACCAATGATTTGCTGTCCCCGAAGAACAATGACACACCCAATTGGCGGTTTGGGGCTCGGGTACCTTCCCATTTGGTCTCAAATCGGTTATCCCCAAACCAATCCCAACCACCAAGTAGGTAAGGTGAACCTATCCTCAACGAATGAATCACCCCATAAATTGGCAATGAGTTATTTTACGGCTAGTTTCAGGGTGGATATGGGGGGTGTCATTTTTGAGGGTACCCTTTGTTTGTGGGTTTAAAGAAAACCGATAGGATTACAGCCTCTTCCTTGTTTTTTGGGGAGGAGTCCCCTAAAATAGATACCCCGTATGTTGGATGGTTTGGTCATTTTCTCCCGGTGGCATTCCACGGGAGGGCTAAAAGGCGCAATGTTGTGCCCGGGATCTCTTTTGCCACGGTTTCCGAACAGGATGCCAGGTAGCCCTCAATTGGTGGTTTGGATTTGAACCCCTGGTTCAATGGGAAACCACACCCGAACCTCCAAACCACCAATCCAAATCACCGAGTAGGGGGTTGAGGATGGGTCGAAAGAAATCTGAAAACTTTCAAGGTTGTGTTTTCGAGGGTGTACCCATGACTCCACTACCCATAGTTGCAATATAGCTAGCAGCGGGGAATGGATTCTAAGCAAATTTGGGATACCAAAACGGTGCACCCTCAGTGCATTGGCCTTAGGGAGTAAAAAGCAAAGGAATTCATGAAATCCATGAGATCTGAATGATGTCTTCCTTTGATGATTCGATCCGAGACCTGCTGTCAAAGGAGGTTTCCCGGTATTGCAATCTCAGTTTTTTCGTTAAACCGCGTCCAAGAGAGTCACAATCAAGCCCTGGTATGAAAGTAGTCACGCAAATGTGTGAAGAACGGGAGGCACCGAAGAATCACTCAGGTGTTGATTGTGAATAAAGGGGATGCCCCACTTGGTGCAGCCGCGGTCACGGTCAGACGTGCCAGAGGTGGGCGGTTCCACCAAAATCGCTTAAAAACCGGACTTGGCCGGAGAAAGAAAACCAGCGAGAAGCGCAAACATGGGTCCGTGGTTTTAACTGGGCATGCCATAAATGCGTAAAATGAAGCAAGAAATGGCAAGAGTTGAGGAGTTTGACCCATTCCCAAGACATGGACCGTGACATGGTGCCGGTGGACTCATACTTCCTGAGTCAAAGAAGAGATACATGAACTATGAAGTATATTGCCTTCTTTGCCTTTTGAGGCTGTGAGAAGCTTCAGGGTCTCTCTCCTTCTCATTCTCTCCAATTGAACAACTGCCAATTGCAAAGCCCCTGTTAAAGAGCTGCCAGCTGACCATCTTGGGGGCTTTTCTTGGCCCCTTGCGCTTGATCTGGTAATGATATTTGCAAGTAATCCAACCATAAGCCAATGTTCTAAGGTTGATTTCCCATTCTCTTCCCATAGTTGTCTTTAGAAACCACCTATTTTCAAATGGTTTGGCCAATTTTTGGAAGAGAAGGATCCTTAAAGAGAATGGGAAGGGTCCAGCCAGACATGTGTATTTGCACTGCTAGTATGGAGGCCAGCGTGCCAGTTTGTTGGGGTGCTGTTGGCCGCCGTTGGGCATCCGGATCCTTCGCAAACGGGTCAAACGGAACCAACACGCGTACCACAACCGACACTTTGATGCCACCCAACCTGCTTGGGATGCAAATGGAAGGGTTCAGTCCGTGGGGTATCTATCAAGATATTCAAGATACCAAAAACCCAAGCTGGAGGGATGCACTTCGAAACCAGCATGCGTGAGGTTGCCAGGTGAGGCATAGGCCATGGGTCATACTGTACACGAAAAACCCGCGCCGGGGATCGAGAAAAAAACAAGACCATGACTGGGACAAACCATTGATCAGCTGCAGGAATTCGTCCAGACCTGAAAAGCAGCCATCGAGCTCTCTCTGATCTTTTGGCATCTGGCACGTCTCAGCAAGTGGCGCCACAGTGGTGCTCTTGTGTGTGTGTGGGGTATATGCAGCAAAAGGTTTGAACGTGATCTGTAAAACATGACTTGTCTCACCCGGACATAAACACGGTTGCAGACTTGGTTGCTGCTGGCCGCTTTGCAACAAGTTTGCAACTCTTTGTGGGTCCAATTTCGAAAATTCGACCTGTTTCCTAAAAGTTAAAGGCCGGCCAACGGTCCAACAAAATGGCCATAAAGCACTTGGTCCTCCAGTAGAGAGTTTAGAATAAGGGTACCCTTCTTTCTGTAGTCTGTTTTAGTAGGGGAACCCTCCCCCAAACAAGGGTAACAGGGCACTACTGGGGGACCTAGGCAAACAAACCCTTCTTCACCCCTTTGGGCCATGGTTTGCTTTGATGTGTCTTCCGGCAGGCCCAGGCTTTGCCTTTTAAGGCCTTGGCTACGGAAGCTGCAAAGCTTTCCCAGCGGACATGGGATACCTTGTTTTTTTGGTTTGAAAGGGAAACCAACAGGAAGACTGCATCTTTCTGGGGGTCCTTTTAAAGAACATGCGCAGAGGGTATGTAGGGGGGTCCCCCCTTCTCATCCTGAATCCTCAGTCTACCAATGTTCTTCGTTGCTGTGTGGAATCAGCCGGAAGAGCAACAGTGTGAGCTCCATACTCGTGACCTGCACTTTGTACATCTTGCTGACACCATGGGTGTGTCTCCAAACGGGAGGTGCTTGGCATCCTCTGGGCACCACCATGTCGCAGTGCCCCCCAAAAAAAATCCAGCTCCCCCATCAAACGAATGGCCTTGGGCCCAATTTGGATGACACAACTCATTAGATAAAATAATGGTGCTTGTATTAATCCCCCATTGTTCCAATGGTACGTGGTTTGGTTTGACCCGCAGGGCATAAAGATGCCCTATCCGAAGAGACAAACTCACATTCATGCCACCCCTTGGCGGGAGTCAAGCAGAAGCTAAAACTCAGTCGAGGCCATAGAAGGAGTCAGGCACGTTGAAGAGCGACACCACGTCCTGAAAAGGCCGTTGGGCCTGTAGTTCGTAGGGTTTGGACACCCAAAATGGCTTCGGTTTTCCTTTTGGTTCCCTTTACAACATCCCGCCCAAATAAAACCAGAAGGGGTGCTCCATGGGATGTAGTTTTAGCGCTGCAAAGCTCAGAAAACACTGCGAATACCATGGTTAAAAGGATATGCGCATGAACAAACGCTTTTTTATTTAGTTCTCAGCTCTGTGTTGCCAGAAAACGCCGGTAAACGCAATGTTGTGTAGCATTTGTCATGTTAAAATCACATCCCCACCAATACCCGGTCTCAAAAAAAGAGGACACCATGTCCTGTAAAGGCATATGGGCCATATGGGCGTGTCTTTTTAAGGGGATCTCCCACAACGGCGGCTTTTTCCTTTGGTTCCCCCTTTACAACCACAAAACAGGGGGAGTCTAACCAAAAAAACAAAATCAGGAGCCGCAGGGTGCCAGTCCATCGATTCTCGACCACAAAGGTCATCCTTTGGCAAATATATATATATATATCTATATGCTAAGACCCCCTCCCAATACCAAGGTTTTTTGTTTTTGACTTGTGGGGCATATATATCTATATCTGATTTTCAATCCAACGGAGACCATTTATCACCATACTATCCGATCAAAAGGACAAAAACAGGTCCCCGCTTGAGAATTTCATTGGGTCTAAAAAGCAACCCCGATTCCTGAATTCGACCAAAAAGCAGGCTCCCCTGGAGGAAAAAAACAACACGCGAGGCGAGCTTAGTACATTCAAGTTCCTGAAAACAGGGGACCATAAATAAAAAAGGCCTCGGTTTCCCTTGAGTTTCCGTTTCAACCAACCCCAAAAAGGGGTACCACCAGAAAAAGACACACGCATCGAAGCAGCCTTGTAGAAGATTGCCTTGGAGTTGTCAACCCTCTATGTTTCCATGGAAACAACACAGCATTCTGCGGCAACTGTCCACTTTTGGCACCTTCGCCTTGAGACTTGACTCTGGGGTGCTCCATTTTCCTTCCAAAGTGACTGGTGTTTTTTTTGTTTTTAATCGAGAAAGCTGGATCGCCTGTTTTGCATCTGTAGGTTGGGAGTCTCCAAACAGGGAACTCCAAAATGAGTGCTTCAAGTGGGTGTGGGCACCTGCCATCTGCCATGGCCGCTCTGGCCGCTTACGCCGAGTGGCCAGTTTGTGGGGTTTGTTCACCGTCACCCGGAGCACGTCACCCGGCGCATGGCACTCAGGGATTTGGAGGTTGTAGCAAACACCGAGGTACGCCACCTGCCAAGGAGCCCCACACTACTCCCTTTTTGCCATATCGCGATGTCATTTGACCAGATGTCAAAAGGAAAGTAAAAAAAAGGACCGAATCACATGCAAAAAACAACAACATCACATATCGTGCTTCAGGGTTCCGGTGTTTTGACCGTGGCACATCGTGGCCAAAGCCAAGTAGAACCATCAGCTATAGGGCTGCAATGGCTCAGCCAGGCTCTGACTCGGTACGTGTCCCAAAAAAACGGAAGATGCCAGAAAATGTATTCCTCCTGTAGATGGTTGCGATGTCCATTTCGCACCACCTAAGAACCCCTAGAATGATGGTTCCCCTGCAAATACCAACAAACAATGGTTTCCCATGGTTTCAATATGGTGCAATATTTCGTCCATCCACAGTCTGGCCACAGGCCTTTAAATGGGTGAGGCTCAAAATTGAAGAGTTACGCGCATTTTGAGTCTTTGGTTCCATTTACCAAGGTGCCGTTTTAGTGCATTGTTGTGAGCCACAGCCAAATCACCCAAATGCGTATCTAAGTCCTCCAGTAGGTTAGCATAAGGGTACCCGATTTTTTTCTGCAGTCTATCTTAGTAGGGGAACACTCCCAACCCAAAAAAGTTGGGTGAGAAAGGGCACCTAGCTGGCGGACCTAGTTTGGGACACCCTGCCACGCAAGCATGGACTTAATCCTCAGATTCCCACTAAACCACAATATGAAAAAATGTAAACTGGGCTGAGTTTCCGATATTGCTTTCTCCGGTATCCAAAAGATGCGGATTTTGATTTCAAAGGGCGGTACTGGGGGACCTACGGTGGATGGACGAAATCCTGCACCACCCAGGAAACTCTAGAATGATGATTCCCCTGTAAATACCAACAATCAATGGTTTCCCATGGTTTCAAAGTGGTGCGAAATGAATTCCGTCCATCCACAGTAGGTATCTTCACAACGCACACCTCACCAAGCCATGGCGACGGTCCCAAACCGCACGCCTCAAAGGCATCGCCCGGTTGCAGGTGCGCTGGGACTTGAACCTCCAAGGTGTCATCCGCCTGCCGCGCCACCTGGAAGAGCCAAAGCGTACGGGAGAAAAACCCGAGGGCGTGGTTTATAAATAAGTAAATAAGTAAACATATACATATATATATATATATCATACATCTATCTATATATATATATATACATATATATATATATATATGCCCTATGCCCCCCGAAAGAAAAAAACTGGTGAGTTTGGGGGTGGGGTAGCATATATATATATATATGTGTGTGAGTTCGGAAGACTTCCCAGGGTTTAGCTCCCACATTGGCGAGTGAATGGTGTGCGGTTAGGATTCAAGCGATGACAAGAGAGACCTTCAGCTACCAAAACGGCTTGCGAAGGAAAGGAATCGAGTTTGGGGGTCCGGCCCACCCCTAAATCGAGTTGGGGTGGTTTTATGACTCACCTATATGTGCATCTCTTCTTTAGGCCCCCCCCCCGAAAAAAATAAATAAACATATGTGTTCCTTTTGGTTTCCCTAAGGTATCCTTCAAAACAACACAACATAGTTCACCTCTGGCTTGACTTGAGTTATTGTTTTTTCGAGAAACAGCCCGCCAGCCTCTGCAAACATCACCGAGAGGAAGTTCTCGTACTCCTCGCCTCGGAGAGGTGAGACGAGACTCGATCCCGAGATGTCGAGCGGATTGGATGGAAAGGTCTAAACTGTTTGCTTACCCTCCTAGGTCCTCCAGATTTGAGAGGTTAGAATAAGGGTACCCAATTTTTTTCAGGACGTTTATTTTAGTAGGGGAACCCTCGCAACCAAAAAAGGGCTAGAGGGCACTACTGGGGGACCTAGCCTCAATAACAACGCTCACTCCCGGTCGAGTGGATTGGATTGCCCCCGAAAAAGTAACCAACCTTCTTGCTTACCACGAAAATGGCCCAGACCCACTTACAAAGTACCCTGCCCCTTTTAAGGTGAACAGTTATGAGTTCCCCACTGATCTCATGGAAAATCGGCTGTTAAGGGACACACCCAAGCATAAGCTTGACCTCAAAGGGAGCTCACTTCTGCTTGGATGTCAAAAACAACATGTTGGGCCTCGACATGCTGGAAGATGGACCCGCGTTCTTTCCATCCCCTTCCCCCGTTCCCTCCCCCCCCCCCCCCGACAGCCGCGAACACGCTGAGGATTGGCATGCGCGGGGCAGCATGAAAGTCCCGGGCAACCCCCCCCCCGTCAACCCAACATGTTGTTAGCTGGCTCGTTTGTTGGTAGTGGGGGTTTACCACGTCTAAAAGGAACAAAGAGCACTGGAGGTGTGGGCTGCCAATTTGCAGCCCCAAACAAAAAGGAAGCAACAAACCACAGTCAAGGCTAGGGAGGAACCAACAAAGCACCAACCAAAAGCGTGAAGCCGTCCAGAATACATGACCTCCAGAGAAAATAAAAGGACACCCGTTCCAGTCGATCAACAGGGAAAACCCTCACTGGAGATCTGGGAACAAGAAAGGTATCTATCTCCTTGATCAATCGGATAGTCTCCTCCATGTATTAGTCCTTTGTTAAGAAAAGATCCCACATGCATAGAAACTCTAGTCCATTTCAGCGATACGCTAAATTCACCGATCGGCTCAATGCCCCTCAACTGGGCTGCCCTCAGATCCCCTGCTAAAAGTAGACAATTTTTATAAACTTTAGTGGGCTAAATGGAAACTACCACTAAACCAACCAAAAAGCTGAGAAGCTACGACACACGAGTCACTACCCAACTGCCCTAAACCCTATAACCCCCGTAAATTCCCTATAAAGCTGCGGAACCGGATGGCTGGTTTAAGCCGAGTGAACACCGGATAGGCGTATAATGCCGAGAGAATCAGCTTCCATTTGGTTAAGACCCCTGGAAAAATAATAACTAAACAAAATGTCAAGTAGTGATAATTTCCTTTTAAAGCCAACAAGGGAACATAATGAATATTCTTAAGCAAATGGAAACTGCCCTTCCTCCAACTAACACGGCACCTGCGAGAGGGTACCAGTGGGAGAGAGGGAGAGGGTATAAAATCACTTCAAATCCATTAGGAAACCCACCTTTGTTCAGTGACCCTGGAAAAAAAGGCGCCTTTTTTGGGGCTTGGGCCATTTTAGTGGGGCCACCAAAAAAAGGGGAAAATAAAAAAGGTGCCACTGAAGACCTGAGTTCAGCAGGGCTGTGGGAAATGGAATCCACAAGAAAAAGGGCTTCCCAAAGATGTTCAACCCCCACCCAAAAAAAAGGGGAGATTCCCTTAGATATCTCACAGGAAGTGGTTGCAAAAACCCCGAGTGATCCACCACAACCCTGGAGTTCAGCAAATAATAAAAAATCGGACCCGCTTCGACCCGCAGCGAGCCACAGGCGGTGACGGCTTCCAGGAAGGCGCCGATGCCATCGTCCAGCTGAAAGCCGTGGCCCTGGCGAGCCATCCGTGGGCCCGTGTTCGGATCGAGCGACATGGAAACCACACCGACGAAAAGATGCTAAAGTCAAGAGTCGTGCTCTGGTGGAGGGGTGGAAATGAGGTACGGCACGTAGGTTCCAAGTCACCAGAACCACCCCTTAGCATGACTCTCGGATTTAGATAAGACCAAAAGATGCTAAAGCTATTGAACCGGATGGCCACCAAGCAACCTGAGACGCGAAAACCTCGACCACCGATTTGATGAGGCAGAAACCAACGGAAACCCTTTGCCTGATTGGATTTGTGTGTTTTTGTTTTGGTTAGGGTGGGGTCCCCCAAAAGAAAGGCACCAAAACTTCTCAAAACGCCTCCCTTTGATTCTGTCAAATAAAAATTGACCACCGCTTTGGGTCCTGGCTTTTCGTATCTCCGTGAAAACCGGGAGAAATAAATCTCGACCACCAAAACCCATAAAACACGGAGGCAGGTTGACACGGAGGCGACTTGCTGCGAAATCGGGGAATGAGAAATGGAATGAACCGCTTGGGATTCCCGCAAGAGTTGGATGGTTGATCTCGGGGTCAGTCCATTTCTCATTCCCTGCTGAGCACCAGCAAGCTTGTTCTCTGCAAAGAAACATATGTCGCTGTTTGTAAGAACACCATGAGCTCTTCATTGGTTGTATCACAAAGGGCCGTTCTAAGAGTGGTCTTGATTCCCTGAGAGGCCAAGTAACAACAGGCTATTTTGTCACATGATCATGACAATGGGCGACCAAGTACCCCACAACCGAATTCCAACTATTTGTGCCCAAGCAAGAACACAATATCTTGCTAAGGGGGAAACCTTTCCCAAGGAGAAAAGGGGTGGGCAACTGGGTAGTGGAAATGGCCGTCCAAATCACAAATGCTGCATTTTTGAAGGGAAATGATACTTGATTCGTGACCTCTCTCTGATTAAAGACACCCAGTTTTTCCAGCCGACTGAGGCGCCCACAAGGTTTGGCCAAAACACACTCTTAACTTGCTTGGGGCACCTCCCCGAACCCCTCTGATGAAAGCAGAACCGGCCAAAATCCACAAATACAAAAAAGCTAAATATTAAGTTGCCAAAACTCTTGCCAATACTTTTGCCGATACTACTTCCTGTCATACTCTCCAGGGTTGCCATTCCAGAAAGCAAACCAACAAAACGGCTAGCCTCAAGGCCTGGAAGCCTCTGCTGTTGCGAGGTTGACGAGCTCGGCATTTGGACCCTACTGCCCTAGGAACCTTCGTGAAGATACGGTTTGTGTAGGTCTTGGATCCCGGCTCGACTCCTAGCCGTTGGCACTTGGCAAAGGCCTGTGGAGTCTAAGCACCCGTTGCATGCTAGACACCCCGAAACAAAATGCCATGCTTCTTCGGAATTGTTTTGGTGGATTGAAAGAGGAACACCACCATTTTGGGGGGTCAATTCCTCGAAACCGAGACACCCCATCGGCCGTGTGCGGCCGGTGCTCCGGGGCGGCGGCCGATCCTCCGGGGCTCCGGGCGTTGGAGCTCCGCAGCCAGGCGCAGAGATCCGTGAGCTCCAAAGCACTCAAGCCCAGCGCCTGCAAAATGGTCCTCGGGGAGGCCAAGCTGTTTGTTTCAGCCAGCGCCCAGCGCTTTTTGGCGAGGGGTGGGCCGCCGCGTGGCTTCTTTTTTCTCGTTCCATTGGCGCTTTTCCGGACGTCGGGGCGGGAATGCTTCGCTTTTTTTGGTTGTTTTGTGTTTTTTTGAGGTGTTTTTGGCTTTCCACTTGGTTCACCTCCGTGTGCCTTGCCGTTAAAACCAACCGGGCCCTGGTTGGTCGGTTTTAAAGGGAAAACAACAGAAGGAAAACCCGAAGCCATTTTGGCGGGTTATGGATTATGGAGTCCCTAACGGGGGGGTGGTCCCAGGGGGGGGAGCTAAGGAAGCTTAAGGAAGCCTAAGGAAGCCCAAAGACCCCTTGCACCTACCCGCCTCTGAGGGATGACCTACTTGGGAATGGGAATCCGGTCAGGTGGGAATCCTTTGATTTTGGGAATGGACCGTGACCTTTTTTCGTAGAAACCACCAGGAATGAGCGAGCCGCAACAAAAAGCAGGTCATTTGCTGAGAAAAACTGCGATCGGATCCCACCAGATGCTGAGAACATGTCAGTCCCTTGGAACTCCGCGGTACCACAATCAGGGGTGTAAAAACCAAAGGCCAAACCTTCCAAAGACGCTGATTCGCCTAAATTGGTGGAAAACCCTATGTGCCCTTTGGTCGGTGAGCGAAATGGGGTTGCGGACTTGGGTAAAGACAAATCAAAGGCCTTTAAGGCTCCCTTGGTGCCTTCTGAGGTACCAGTGCCCGTTGAAACGAATCTGGCCATGCTCCAGACCCCCCAGAAGAGAAACCTTCGCATTGATTGCCCGGCATAGACACTGTGTCTTGCAACGGTTAAGCCAAACATGGTATCAGGGACCTTTGCAATATGGCTGTCATTCAATTGATTCGTTTCCAATATACGCTTTGACTGCATGGGTGAACATAGACCCACGTAAGGAGACTCCAAAGCTTTGCATGGAGGCGAACAGTGTACACTCGAAACCGGACAACTTGAAGATGGCACCTAATGGTGTTGGTTCATACCACACCCGAACAGGTTACTCTTCGTATGGTAACCGCTGATGTCTTGAAAGTTGCATTTTTCTCTTTTTTTGAGAGAGCAATCACAACCAACCGAGCATTACTTCAACCAGCCCAGTTGCCCAGTGACCTTGGTACCAATGGGACCTTCCTGCAAACCTTCGGTATCTGGGGAAAACACTTTTTGAGTACCCAGACGCTCCTGGGGCTTCCAATGGAAGATCCAGACCCTCCATTGGACACCCCAGAGAGGTTTTGGTGTCTCACAATTTGGCTGTTTGAAGGCCCAAAATCAATCGGGATCCTCTGGGTAGAGAACCCACCAAACCAAAGGGTCAAACGGGTGCTGAATAACAACCGGTGAGTACTTTGGACGAGTTGACCGTTTCTGACAACCCTTTTCCCGACAACCTGTGTAAGATCCTGAACATTTTGCGAACTCCAGAAACAGGGGACGCCACAAAAAAGGGAGTCCACTGGTAAATGAAAACGACAAGCCCTAAACAGGGGCCGCAGAAAAAAGGGAGTCCACTGGTAAATGAAAAGGAGCCACATGACCTACCTGTGTTTTTTTAGCAGTCTGATCTAAGCACAATGACTCTGAAGCCAGTGACAAGAGGTTTGGAGTGATTCTTTCGGGAAAAGTTGGAAGGAGAGTGACTGGGAGGACCTAAGAACCCAAAGCCAAATCTCACGTGCGGAGAGAAATGGCGAGCCCGCCGTTCGGGCCTACGACAAAAAGGCCGGAACAAGAAAACTAGACTTTGGGCAAGCGAGTCCGAGAAGACCTTCCCGACCCTTGTCTTTGGATCCGGAGGACTGACTCCGTCTTCCTTTTTCTTTCCTTCCTGCCTTCTTTCTTTCTTTGGTATCAACCTGGCGGCTTCACAGCAGCGTATCTCCAATAAAAAGGCTCCTCAAACCTCCCATTGACTCCAGCGCCTTGGTGGCTCACAAGCCTCGGGCGTGGGTTGGTTTGGTCGTTTCAAGAGCAAAATGGTCCAGCTGGACTCTGGGTTGGCTGGAGCCTGGAGACAACGACCCCTCTGCAAAAAGTGAAAATAACTCTTGTGGGTTTAGTGGAAACCACTGGATTTCCCCAAAAGTCTAAAGATCCAACCCAATAGCAGTCAAGGACTGTAAGGTCAGGTTCCATGTTGGTGAGCATACTGACATGGCAACATCTCAACATGTTTCTGAGGCTTATCAGCTCACAGACATGAGGGAGCAAAACGTACTATGACGTATATATGGGTTTGTATTTTTTTAGGGTGGCCGGGCAGGAAGGTTTGAGTACGGGGTATGATTCGCAGGTATGATTCGCGGGTATGATTCGGGGTATGATTCGGGGGTATGATTCGCGGAAGCAGCAGCAGCAGCACTAGTAGTAGTAGCAGTAGTCGCCGAAGTAGTAGTACTAGTAGCAATATTGTAGTAGTAACAATAGTAGTAGTAGTAGTAGTAGTAGTAGTAGTAGTAGTAGTAGTAGTAGTTAGTAGTAGTTTTTAGTAGTAGTAGTAGTAGTAGTAGTAGTAGTAGTAGTAGTTGTTGTTGTTGTTGTAGTAGTAGTAGTAGCAGTAGGAGGAGTAGTAGTAAATAGTAGTAGCAATAGTCCTAGTAGTAGTAGTAGTAGTAGTAGTAGTAGTAGTAGTACTAGTAGTCGTAGTAGTAGTAGTAGTAGTAGTAGTAGTAGTAAGAGTAGAAGCAGCGACTGTAGTGGCGCGGAAGCTTTGAAAAGACTTGGCGCTGGCCTTGGCAAGGCAAGTTCATTGCGCGGGTATGATTCGGGTATGATTCGCGGGTATGATTCGGCTAGGTGCAAAACGGGACTGATTGCAAACTCGTAGTAGCTGTGGTAGTAGTAGTAGTAGTAGTAGTAGTAGTAGTAGCAGTAGTAGTGGTAGTACAGAAGTAGTGGTAGCAGCTGTGGCATAAGCAGCAGCGGCTGTAGTGGTGCGGACGCTGTGAAAACGACTTGGCACTAGCCTTGGCAGGGGAAGCTCATTGTCCGGGTATGATTCGGGTATGATTCGCGGGTATGATTCGGCTAGGTGCAAAACGGCACTGATTACAGACCAGAAGCAGGAATAGTAGTAGTAGAAGTAGTAGTAGTAGCAGCAGCAGTAGTAGTAGTAGTAGTAATAGTAGTAGTCAAGGTTGTAGTCGTAGTAGTAGTAGTAGTAGTAGTAGTAGTAATAAAGGTAGTAGTCGTAGTAGTAGTAGTCAAGGTTGTAGTCGTAGTAGTTAGTAGTACGGGTAGCAGTAGAGTAGTAGTAGCAGCGGTGGTAGCGGTGGTAGTGGTAGTAATACTCGTAGTCGCGGTAGTAGCAGTAGTAGTAGAGGTAGTGGTGGTAGTAGCAGTAGTAGTAGTCATTGGAGTAGTAGTAGTAGTAGTAGTAGTAGTAGTAGTAGTAGTAGTAGTAGTAGTAGTAGTGGCAGTGGTAGTGGTAGTATTGGGTAGCGCTGGTGGTGGTTGTTGTGGAGACAGTGAACAACACAAAACGGTAGAAGAACATTAGCATCTTGCAGCATACGTTTTAAGGGGTATGATTCGGGGGTATGATTCGGGGTATGATTCGGGGGTATGATTCGGGGGTATGATTCGGGGAGGTCCCACCTTCTGCCTTTTGAAGCAACTCAACACACCAAAAAAAGACAAACCCATATGTATATATATATATATAGATATTGTTTTTTCTCACGACCCGCCACTAGCTGACCAATACCTTCGGTTTGTTGATCCATGGTTGCCTTCTCGCCGGGCGGCTGCATTTGCCGCTCGAAGATGGCGCGATACTCGTCATGGTAGATTTTCCAGACCTTTGCAGGGCACAACGATGGCCTGCAAAGGGAAACCAATGTTGTATGGCCAAAACACACCAAAGTCGAGCCCGCGCAAATTTGGTCCACACCCTCGTGGTTTGGTCTTGGGGTTCGGAGCAACCGACGGAGGCTTCGGCTTCAATCTCACGGCATCAGATCTCCAGGCTGAAAGCGTGTGATGTCACTGCCTACCAAGCAACCCAACCCAACCCAAACCAACCCAGCCCAGCCAACCAAACCCAAACAAACTAAGACAAACCAAACTACAACCAACCAACCAACCAACAAAGCACGGCCAATGAGTAAACAAGTGCAAGAGAATTGCGCCGCCCCTTTGGCCACGGCGCCAGCGGGTGGCTACCATCCTCGCAGAGCACTAAAAAGTGGGGGGCCCTGGCCAAGATGAAGTCCTGATCGAAGGGGTCAGAGGGGTTCCTCGGGGGGCCGGGGTTCCTTGGGCGGTTGGGGCCAATCCTTTGTTGAGCGACCAAAACCCGTTGACTCTTGCTTCTATTAAACCAGGTAGAACCACCTACTGAATGGTTAATGGGGGTTTTGGGCGCTACTCAGTTCTTCTGGAGAAGGCGGGTGTTTCAAGCAGCCACCTCCATGCTTCCACAGTTGCCACTTTTCGGAAACTCAAGTCCTTTGTTCCAGCCTTTGTCCACAAAAGGACGTAACAACCCCCCCTAATTCCAAGCAACCGTCTCCACAAATCCCCCAGCCTTATTGGGGGAAACATCAAACTCCCAAATCATCACTTTCAAAGGCCTGGTTGTGGCTTGTTGATGCCCCGTGGCTTGTGTCCTTTGTTTGGGTGACAGTTTTTGTTTTTTCAAGGAAATTCCGCTTCCCGCTTTCCGGTAGATTCCGGTAGCGCGAGAGCGCAAGGATACTGATGTGCAGTCCAAGATTCCGTTCCAAATTTGAAATTGAAGTTGGACCTCCTTTCGGGGAAGAATGGGACATGTATAGTCCTTGTTGGAAATTGGTAGGACGTTGGCTGCCCGTTACCAAGTTCAAATTTCGATGCTTGCGATCTGAGCAACGTAACAACTGTCTTCGCCAATACGGAATTGGGCCGCAGGGACTAGAACAACAACCGGAGGTGCTTCACCATCCATTATGGGCAAATCTTGGAAACCAACATCCAGGCGTGAGAGACGAGACACGAGAGGAGTCTCGGCGGGTCTCCGGAACAAGCAAAACCTGGATGTGGTGCTGCAATTGAAAGAGCCAACTTCTCCAACCAAACCGCCGTTTGTTCCCCAAATGGCTATGACTTTTAATAAGGGACCCTTTGGTGGACATCATGGTGCACATTCATGTCCACCAATCACTTTTGAGGTGGTTCCGACTCTTACACTAGGTCCTCCAGAGAGGTTATAATAAGGGCACCCCTTTTTCTTTTTAGTCTATTTTAGTAGGGGAACCCTCCCAAACAAAGTAGTAAAAGGGCACTGGGCCAGCATTTTTTTTCCGGCCAAGTCAGCCTTCCGTGGGGGCAAACCCCAACAAAAAACCGGCACAGGGTTCCGGTCCCGTCGGTCGGTTCCCCGTTGGTCGAACACGTCGGTCGAACCCGTCGGTGGGGCGCGTGGGTTCCTGGAGCTCCTGCCGGAACCCGGGGTCTTGCACGAAGCCACTGACCAGCGGCTCCAGGCAAGAGCCTATTCGGAACTCGGAACTCGGGCAGAACAAAAGCAGGGAAACAAAAGACGGGGGGAGAACCACGAATTTCATGTTAACCCCAGATCTAAGTAGGACCCTGATTTTGATTGGGGGGTAGTCCCCTTTTAGTGGTTGGACTCAGACCACTTTTGGAGGGAACACTCCCCTAAAAATGGGGCGTGTTAATCCTGAACATTATGGGCGTTCAGGCTGTGAAGCCGGATACCGGACTCCCAGCAACCATGTTTGGCAACATCGGAGACCCGACTGCATCCTTGAATTGTACCAAAACTTGGGGTTATGTCCCAATCCCTCAGCAGGGTTCCAACTCTTAAAATTTGCCGCATGGCAATGTGCTTGGATCTTCACTTCGGCTCTTGGGCGCAAAGCCGTCGACCACAAAAGTGGCTTCAGCATTGGCGAGCCAAGCCGAGAAAGCCCCCTGTTTCGGGCGCAGACGCTGTGGCACGCAGCCTCTCTGTCTCTCTGACTCTCAGAAACCTGTTCCTCGCCCTGACACGCAAAACACATGCAACACGCATGCAACACGCATGCAACACGCATGCAACACACATGCAACACACATGCAATACACGTGAAGCAGGAGCTTTCTATTGAAAACGCGTGCCTGCGTCAAGAGTTACTCAATGTGAAATTTAGTTAAACAGCCAGGCTCTCCGAAATCGCTCTTTTGTCGAGTGTGTTTCCCGTAATCAGCTCGTGTTGCGTATGTGCGTGTGTGTGCGTGTGTGCGTGTGTGCGTGTGTGCGTGTGTGCGTGCGCGTGTGCGTGCGCGTGTGCGTGTGCGTGTGCGTGTGTGTGCGTGGGTGGGTGGGTGTGTGCGTGTTGCACGTGAGCGTTGGTTCTTGCCTACAAACTTGCTTGGACATTATTTAAGCTTCCACGAACCCTTTCGCATCCTTGCCGAAGGCCAAGAGGTCCCTTCCGCGAACTTGCGCGGCACATGTGATTCATTGTTTGCTTCCGCAAACCTTCTGCGGCGCATGGTTTACAAGATTTGCTATAACAGAGTGGGAACTCCTCTTCAGCTTTGCTCTGACAGCTTGCCCAGGCGCCACAAACCGGCGCCAGCGCAGCCAAGCGCTCGTAGGTCGCTTCGGCTTCGCACGGTGGAGGTGGCGGCGGCTCGTCCATGGCCGGAGCGAGCGGTGGAGCGGTTGGGCGCGAGGTCTGTTGGAACTTCCTAAGTAGTTCTGTGTGTTGGGGGTGGTGTGCTTGCGGGGGTCCTCCAGTAGAGAGGTTAGAACAAGGGTACCCGATTTTTTTCGGTAGTCTAATTGAGTAGGGGAGGCTGGGACACCTAGAAGTAGTTCTGTGTGTTGGGGATGCTTGCGGGGCCCCAAAGCGGGGGGATGCAAATCGTCTCTGTCACTTGCATGGTTTTGTTTTAGGCTCACTTCAGTGGACACTTCTTGGGACTCTTACTAAAAAAAATATTGCCTTAAGCAGGGAAATCCAAAAGGTCAAAAGGTCGGCCTTTTGACACAGCGAGACTCACTTCCTGAATGGACTGGCCAAAAAAATAACCAAGCTATGTGTCTGCCACTCAAATGGTCCAAACCCAAGTGACTCAAGTCCAGGAATTCAGGTACTTGGGGGGTGTCGTTTTTAAGGTTGGACCCCCCAAGAATGGCCAAAGGGCTCTCCTTTTGGTGTCCCTTTAAAGCCAACCCCAAAAAAAATGCCCCTCCAAACAGGAGAGAGCTCGCTTCGATTGAAAGATGCAAGATACTTAGTAATGGGTTGGGCTGGGACAGGTTTTTCTATAGAAACATCCTTTGAAAGGCCTCAACTCGTTTCAGCCGAGAACAGCTTTTGCCACCTTGAACCCGAGTTTTCCGGGTTTACTTTGGATCTTTCCGTTCGGATTGGCGGCCTTTTTTCTTCCTTTGGGATTCTTTGGGCTTCTCTAAATCAATTCAAAAACAAATCCATCAGTCCCCTCACTTGGAATGCCCACGATCCGAACATTCCCCTGCCTTGGGACGATGCCTTATAGTTGGACCTGTAAAAATGTTTGATGCCCTTGGCGGTTCCTTCCAACCACCCATGTTTTGGGGGAACCCAGCTTTCTTCTGCTCAAATCTGAGCCATAAATGGCCAGTCATGTCGGTTGATCATGCCTCCTCACCTGCCACCCAAAATGGGAAGAGCATTCAGAACCCTAGCGGTACCTTCCCCATTCTTTCCAGGGTTCCGATTTTCTTTTCAGGAAACCATCCAAAACCCCAGGGGAAACGGATCCGGTTTTTTAAAAGAAGGATGGTTTAAAAGAATGGAAAAGGAATCAACCCCTGGACGAATGCAACATCTGCAAAACCTGGCTTGCCCACAAGCGAAGTCGGCTGGTCTAACCCAAGCCAAACAAATAATGCTGGCAAACAAACCAAACCCAAACAAACGCATCATACCAAATGATTAACGCCTCCAAAAGCGCCAAAACAACATGAGTTACGATCTGCTATGATCCGGTGTCCCTTCTGGTGGGGAGCTCTGATGAGGGTGTTCCGAATTAGACTCACCACCACATCAAAAGCTGCCCCCTCCCCCCCTCCCTCCCCGAAAACTCGCGCAGTTTCTTTTGTTTTGTCTTCTTTGCTTGGCGCTTCCCAGCCGTTCCCTTCGACGTTTAGGCTTTTAGGGTCCCCAACATCCTTCCCGAAGGAGCCCCCACCCAAAACCATGTCCCCACCCCAAACCATTTCCCCACCCCAAACCGACCCTAACACCTAATCCTAACCTACCTTGAACTTACCTTGAACCTACCTTACACCCCAAACGCAACCAACCCTACCACATTCTCAAGTTGCTGCTCCTCCAAACAGCTGGGGCAAGGTGCATGGCGAAGACTTGTACACGGTCCGTCCTTCATCTGTCCACGGTTTTCATATCGCTGGCTTGGGATTCGCAAAAGCTGGCTCAAGCGGCGCTTGAGGCGCAAGCCACTTGGGGGATTATGACTTGAGGCAGCTCCGAACGCCCTCAAGTTGCACCAGAAAACTCTTGCGGCCAGCGAGTAACACCCAAAGATGAGCAACACCGGCGCGGCAGACTTTTTTAAAACCCTGATCAAGACAAAGGAACAAATCACGAGATCGACTGCGGAAAACGCCCAAACCCTGATCAAGACAAAGAAAAAACACGAGGTCGACGGTTTTCACGCCCAAAAAGCCCTGATCAACACAACCCACAAACCACAAACCAACCCCTCGATGCCCCCTGCGTGGTTTTTGTTCCTCGGGCTCCCCGGCTTGAAGCGATGGGCCGTCCATCTGCTGATCATGTCACCCAGGTTGATGACGAAGGCATTCTCCACCTCGAGGCGAATGGTGGTTTTCAGGTGGGTTTGTCTCATAGGGGAACCCCCAAAATTATGGTTTTCCTTTTCTTCCCCCTTTCAGCTAACCCCACAACGGATACCCAAAACAAAAAGACACACCCAGGCGTATCGACTCGCCAAGCGCGCGGCGAGCGGTGCACGTTTTTAGCCTCTAAATGGGTGTGCGGGACGGGGAGCCAATGGGGTTTCAACGTTGTACTAGGTGCAAAAAGGGGGGTTTCCGAGTTTTCCGGATTTGGTTTCAAGGTGCAACAAGGTGGTTCTATTTGGGGGGGGGGTTCTGGGCTTTGGGAGGCAGGGAGCCGATTGCCAGTGTCTACAAAGCAGCGGCTTAGTCGTACTTGCTGAATCCGGTTGCACAGTGAGCTGTTCAAACATGAACCATTAGAAATGCGTAAATAGCTGCTTGACATATTGCCCCTTGTTCCACAATGGAAGTGGACAAGGCTCCTTTGCAAGATGGTAGTCTGATCGCCCGTGTCCATTCGTGTCGAAAAAAGGGTCGTACTGCCACAAGTTGCCCAGTGACCCTGGGAAGAGGAGTTGAACCCTTTTGGGGTGGACCATTTGCCCAGTTGCAACCGGTGCGGACCCATAGAAGGCGATCACCTTGCGCCACTAAACATGGCCTCAGTTGTTCAGTGACCCTGGAAAAAGGGGAACCCTTTTTTGGGAAGACAAGAGAAGTGGGGCAGCCACCAAAAAAAAAGGGGAAAAAGGGGGCCACTGAACAACTGAGTGGCTGCCAAACAGAGACATCCATAGACATCCCAAAGGTCAGATCCGGCCGATTCGCTGACAAGTGGGAAACCCTGCGAAGGGGATGCGGAGAGTGGTCCAGGTCTTGCGCAAAGCTCAGCCCTGCGCTGGACAACAGTGGATCCACACGCCATCCTTGGCGTTCAGCACCTTCGGGACAGGACACTCCGATGGTACATGCGGACTCCGAAATCAGACAAGCCGAAATCAAGCGTGTCAGATTTGTTTGGGACTTAACTGCCCAACCCTTGTTGTGGGAGCAAACACTTTCATTGTTGCGGCCGCCTAATTACTAAACATGAACCCAAAAAACAACAACGCCTAGAACCATGCCAAAAACGGTGAAGTCAAACCACAAACACAAAGGCTCAAGTATGCAAAGGACCCCGCCGCGTCCAAATCTTTCCAAGCCAAAGCTCGAAATCCGCCACAGAAACGGGAATTCGCGTGGCTCGTGGCACCCATCCAACTCTTGACATGTTATAACTCCCTTCTCAACCGTAAGTCCCAAAAGCAATGGCTCCGAACATGGAAACAACGTATGGCAGCAACGGTTGCTATAACCGCTATCCCAAAAAAGGTCATGGTTCCCAATGGTTCCCAAACTGCGCTTCTACAAAAACAGGAAGATTTAAAATGTCTTTCTGTTTTCTGGAAACCATGCAGTTTCTCGGTTGCTTTCTGCTCCCCTGCTAAAAGTTGAGAACTTTTAGTGGTTTAATACGGAAAACCCATTAGTTGGCAAAAAAATAAGTCCTAACATCCCTTGGCAAAATGCACCAAAGGTTTGGAAGCCTGGCTGGCAATTCCCACTTCAAGGCACATGCGCTGAAGTCTGCGTGCCGCTCCCTCTCGGACCAGCTTGCGGGGGTGTAACAAAAACAAGGGGCAGTGTCTCAAAATTTATGAAAGCCTTAAGGGGGGTAGGTACAAGGGGGATGGGTGGTTGAGAGCCCCAGTGTTCTCAGCTAGGTTTCTTTCTTTTGTGTTTTCCAAATTGAACTACTGGAAATATGTTTGTTTTATTCCAGGGAACTGAAGCAATTTGATGAGGATTCGGGGCAGTTGGCTATTGGATATCAGGGCGTATTGAACCCTTGTCAAGTTGGTTTAAACGGAGACCAACAGTTATGGAATCCCAGCCGGGGGGTAGGTACAAGGGGGATGGGTAGTTGAGAGCCCCAGGGTTTCTCGGCTAGTTTTTTTTTTGAGCGTTAGGGAGCCTTAGGGAACCCCCTTTGGACCACCCCCTCAGGGACTGCAAGATCTGCTCAAGTACGCGAACTGATACCCATACTGATGGTTCCTTATTTGGGATGCTTCATTTCATTCTTTTCATTCTTTTCATTTTGTTGAGCAGATTGCCGTTTGCATGTCACTGGTGTTTTGGATTGGGACAAGCATCAAGAGCGCTCACCCCGGCGAATGCCACCCCGTCTTGGACTGGAAGGCGCCACGATCGCAAGATCCGATTGTCTACAGAAGGAGCGTCCCAGCTGCGCAATCCAATTTCCCCGTGGAGTTCGTCGAAGGTCCAACTTTGAGGGAACACCCTGGCGTTTTTTGTTGCTTTTTTTTTTCTCCGGGGAGGGAGGGCGACTTCTCGGAAGGTGCGAGAACAGCCAGCGTGGCACGAGATGGACGGCGTTGCCTTTGGAGTCCCAGTCCCGGCGTCAGAAGCAAACTCGCTTCCGATCGACGTTGGTTGGTCCAAGTCAAAAAGAGTCTTCGCTTTGTTTTGCCCTGGTCCCAACCCAAAAAGGTAACCAGGTATGAGGTCCGTGAACTCGGAAAAAAGGTAAAGCCGAGACGGGCAAAACGAGAACTCGAGCTTTGAGGCAGCTCCTTCAGGGAGTTCGATCCCGAGACGCCCAATTCCCAGCTTCAACCCTGCCGATGCAGCCTGCCTGCAGGCCGCCCACCATGTCCTGCCGGCAAAGCGACATCCAGAAAAATCGCACTACGAAATGACACCACCCAGAGGCTCCAATTCGATGGATTTAGGGCCCGCCGATTTAACAGCCAGGTTTTTTTG